GTAACAAGCTCTCCATCCTCGACACAAAAGCCAAGCAGCACAAGCACAAAAGCCACAGCACCAGGACCCACTCAAACCGGCATCATCTCATCCTGTAACATGTATCTCATGGCCAACCCAGGAGGTTCCTGCTCAGCCTTTGCCTCTCGCGCAGGAATATCCCTCTCTCAACTCTACACTTGGAACAGCGTCCTCGGCGCCAATGGCGAAAACTGCGCTTCCCAGTTTTGGGGCAACGAGTACTATTGCGTTGGCATTGACGCCTCGAGTCCTGCATCAACAGCACAAAAGCCAACCAGCACAAAGGTGACAGCACCCGGGCCTACTCAATCTGGCATCACTGCAAAGTGCAACAAGTACCTTCAGGCCAACACCGGGGGTTCGTGCACGGTGTTTGCTTCGAGGGCGGGGATTAGTACTGCACAGCTATATGCTTGGAACTCTGTTCTTGGTAACAATGGACAAAACTGCAACACGCAGTTCTGGGGCGAGGAGTACTACTGTGTTGGAGTGAGCAGCTAGAGAGGCTTCCTGGCAAAGGCTTCATAATCTCTGTAGAGGATTTGAGCAGCCAGACATGGAATAATAAAGTCGATGACAACAGTTCCTTGAGCACCATCTTGCAGATAGCAGGCACGTAGCGTAAATTTGTCTCTCGCACATCCTTGATCTGTATAGACGGAACTCTAAGACGCCAAGCCAAGGAGAGCACTCCATGCGCTTAATTTATTGTAACTGCAGACTTGAATCGTAGTAGTAATGTCGACCAATGTATCCGCAAATCAACCAATGTTCACAAAGATCCCCAGCATGCACACACACAATCTGAGAACACTGCTGTGTCTAGCTGACCCAGTCCTTGGAGGATATAAGAGACCTGCGATGGAATTCCCGTGGCATCGCTGTAGAGGATCAGATCAAGGAAATGGGTTTATCTGGCTTAGTTGTCAACGACAGCAATCTGCCCGGAGCAAAGACACTAATACCAGCCATGATGAGGATTGACGTATCTCCGAAGAAGTGGAGGGATGTATACAGATTATTGAGGAGATGCTTGTGACGTTTTGGTCGAGCATTCCTACCGAGTTGGGCGCCAGAGGAGTGCTGGACAGTTTTTTCAGCATACAATCGATCGAGAAACAGAATGTGCAGGATCTACACTGGTTATGGCGGCTGAAGATCACTGCAGTACAAGACATTGCTACGAAAGAAGAGGATCTTGGGAGATCAAAGAAATACAGAACAGCTTGTTATTTCATGTACGTACTGGAGCAACTCCAAGCTATACCACATCCTCGTTTTATGCAGCAATCAGAGTTTCGTGATCAGAGTTTCGTGATCAGAGTTCCGCAACAACAAACAATCTAAAGATCAAAGGAAGTTATCACACCAGACCTCATCCGCGCGGATCAGTTCGACTGCTTGCAATGAGCAGAGTAGTCAATGATTTCCGGCTCCTGACCCGTAGCATCTGGACGCCAGAGTGAACGAAAGCAAAAATCTCTGTCTTTGCTGCAGGGAGTCGCTCTCTAATCGTGTTGACATCGTGTCTGAACTTGAAGAATCTTCGCAGGTCGAAGTCTTCAATCGTAAGCAATGCAGCATCGTCGGTGCGTTCTTTGGAAACGTGAGACAAGAGCTCGCGCATCTTGCGAGGATGTCCCACCAAGATGTGGGGGTACTCCGAGTCAAACTGTGCTAGGAGTCCTTGCAGATCCATGTCGTCTTTGACGTGAATAGCCTTAACCGCCGTGTCCCATGTCAGGAAAGTTAGAAGCTGCACTGCATGTGTAGCACATCGCTGCTCGGCAAACAGCCCAATAGCTACGATCCCGTGCTTGCCTCCCTTGATGTGGTCGTGTGCCACTCTTGCAAGTTGCACTGACAACGACAGCGATCTTCCTGAACCAAGTGCTTCCACGATAAGGGATGGTCTCTTGGTAGGCGATGCCTCGTACAGGTTCTGGAGTACATACGTGAACTGCTTAGGAATGCTGATGATGTTCATGGATCTTAGCATCTCTAGGAAGTTGGGTTGTGGAGCGCCAAAGAACTTGACAGCTTCTTCGATTGGTTGATTGTTATGAGGACACTGTCTGTCCACGCCGGAAACTGCATTCAGCATTCTGTCATCGATGTCAGTATATAGTCCACAAAGTCTTGTTAGTTGTCCTACTCACTCGTCTAGAGATCCATAACGTGACACTCCTTGCCAAAGGGCGATCAGTTCCGGTGAGTGAGGTTGCGCCTGAGTAGTCTCGGACGTAGAGACAGGAAACTCCTCGTTGGAAGTAACGCCTACATGATCCTTGTTCAAAGTCTCTTCGACCTGACGATCATTGTGGGGAGAAGAAAGCGATATCTCACGCCAAAGGGCAGAAAATACAGACGATTCCATCGGCATAGAGGTGGGGTTAGGAGTAGAGGCTGGGAGCCCTTCGTCGGAAGCAGTGAATGCATTGTCCTTGTTAGAAGCGCCAATCGCAAAACCTTCGTCGAAGTGATCAACAAGACCAGGAGCTTCGGAAGCAAAGGGTTCTGCACTTGCGGTAACAGAGCGTGGTGGTGAAGTGGAAGTAGGTGTGGGCAACTGAGCGTTCAGAACAAGCTTCTGGTCGAGCTGCTTGATGGATTGCTTGAGCTGCTCCAACTCCTGTTGGACGTTCGCATGTTCCTCGGTCTTGGCCTTGATCTCGGACTCGAGATCATCGCATCGCTGCTGGAGAGACTCGCATCTGATCTGAAGTTGCTTCATCTCTTCGGAACGTTCAGCTGGTTCGGGATCCTTCGAGGGTTGAGCTTCAGTGTCGGTGAAAGTAGCAGGTTGAACAGGCGCAGTCTCAGCGAGTGTCTGATTTCCAGCTTGGAACAATCTTCGATGAGGCGCTTTGGGAACGCGGTCTGAGATGAGTTGACCTGACATTGCGCTGATGGAGTGTGAGAAGGCTGCCCGAACAGATGAACGCGGATCGGTGTGAACACGAACCAAATTGGTCACGAAGCGTAGGAGAGGTAAGCCGAGTGCAAAAGTGACGCGCTGGAGACAAGATTGGAAGTGAAGCGCAGATTGTAGGAGTCAGAGATGATGCTTGGAAAGGAGCGCGCAGAAAGATCGTGTCAATCGACGCTTGAGACGTGATGAGACGAGGATTCTCGCAAAAGTCAATGTAAAGTGGAGGAGAAGTGGTGCCGAAGGGGAGAATTTCTAGGGAAGCGACCTTGATTTCGAGCGTGAGGCAGCGAGGCGCTTGGCCACACACAAGATACCTATTGAGGAAGCGACGACCTGGGAGTCGCAACTGCGCGTTTGCCAACCTCCCAAGGTGAACCTAACGAAATTACTGCTCTCCTCAGTGCTTGTCTCGTCTTCAACGATAGATGCAATATCGTTGCTCGCAGACATTCTTATCAGCATGGAGGGTGAGGCTACAAATTACAAGTCTTGTGAAGCTCAATCTTCTTCATTGTCACAGATGCACCTCCAGCGACTTTGTGTTAGGTGAGTCTCGATGGTCACGCAGTCATGGTTCAGAATGGGGGAGAACATAGGATGATCAGTGAAATCACTTCTACCTACCGGTCATGACAGCAACAAAGTTACGCCAGAAGCCCAGGTCGTAGATATTTTCCACCATGTCCAGACTCGTACATCTCTCCCAGAGCTGTTCCTGTCCTGTGGGAGCCTTGCCATCTGTAGTGCTGACAAGAATCTGGTCGCTATGCTTTGGCCAAGGAACGTATTCCTCATCGTCTTCGTCGGAGTCTGGTACTGGACCAGCCAGTCCACTCATTCTGTTACGGTTCCGTAAATGGCGTGCTTTCCGCTCCTTATTGTGAGCTTCAACGACACTACGCTTTCCTATCCATGCCACACCATCTGTCATGTCGTCGCGCCAGTCGGCCCATTTCGCACTTTCGTTGGTCGTCATGCCAGCCCAGATGAGATAGAGATGATATGCGAAGAGTGCAAATGGTAGCGGCATAGTAGTGATGGCAAGCAGACCGACACCAGCAACACTGATTCCACCAATGCTCATTGCAAAGACAAAGGCATTGCCCAACTCTGCCCAGTATCGATTTTCCAACCAACCGTATCTAGAGTGACCAAGATGTAGGTGTGGTGACAGAACTGACCAGGACAGGTATGCGCCGTAGAGTTCTACAAGACCAATGCTGAGGAGCAAGAGCAGAAAGTAGCGATAGTTGTGTCTTCCAACACAGTTGTTTATCCAAGCGCAATGGTGATCACATCTTGCAACACAGACGCCACACAACGAGCAGTGTTTACTTCTTGCAGGTTTCGTAAAGTTGCAGGTACGGCAGACATTGTCGGGTCGGAAGAGTATGTGGTCGTAGGGGTATTGTCGCATTGCAGGTGCATGGTTCGCATGGGTGATGTAGTCGGTCTTGCTGGTGACGCAGAGGTAGGTAAAGATGTAGGGAGCCAGTACGACGAAAGGTATGGGCAGAATTGAGGAGGTGCTCAGGTGAGGAAGGGCGGCCCGGAGGAAGAGAGTTGCACTGCCTGTCAAGAGGACCAGAAACAAGAGTAATACGAGCGGATTCTTTTGGTGGAAGAGGTAGTTGCTCAGTCGTGCGATGTTAGCGTTCATACGGCCACCAGTATAGCGTGAGTCGACTTGTCGAAAGCCATTGGGAATGTATATGCAGAGCAGCCTGTGACTGAAGCCGATGGGAGTCTTGCGTAGAGCTGGGAGTCGACCGAAGAGAGCTATGAAGGTGAAGAGAGAAATGACGACCACCAGAATGATGGTATTGCGAAAGGCGATCATGGTATGCTGCGGCTGTCTCTCATCCTGATGCTGTGATGTCTTGCTGACAAGGAAGAGGAAGAGGAAGATGCAGGGAAGAAGGAAGGCACGAACTGGCACGTCATCCAGCCGAAAGTGGAAACAAGCTTCGGCTGGACGCGTGCCGTCGCGTCTGCCTCGATGTTTCTGGCCGAGAGCAGCACCCACCCATACTAACAACCGTGCAACATGCCGCCGGCCATTGTATACTCGGACATGGCCGACTCGGCTGATGTTCAAGGCAGTGTGTTTGCCGGCACCAACTTCTTCGTTGTGCAGCGCGTGCCGCAACGCTCACACTACATCTCGCTGGTCCAGAGCAATGGCGGCCGTGTAGTCAAGCTCGAGGCTCAGGCCGACTACCTCATCGCCGACCATGTGCGACACGATGCGCCTGCCGGTTCTCTAAGCTACAAGTTCATTGAAGAGGCCATCAAGCAAGGACAGATCCCCGAAGACGACACTCCCTTTCTCGCCAGTCGTCGTAAATCCGCAAACCCCGTCACCACCGCTGCCGGCCCATCCAAGAAGTCGACAAGAACACCCTTCACCGACGACGATGACAAGCTGCTCTACAAGTGGGTCAAGAAGGCCGACGAAGAAAGTCTCGCCATCCAGGGCAACACGCTGTACCAAGTCCTCGCCGACCACAACCCGAGACACACTTATCATTCCTGGCGCGATCGCTACATCAAACTTCTGTCTGCAAGACCCCCGACCGGATGGGAGACCTACCCCGACGAGAACCTCCCCACCGTTGCTACGTCTATCGCCGACATACCCTCCATCGCTCTTCCTCGCTCTACCGCTGTCAGAAGATCAGTGACCTGGTCGCCTTCCAAAGCTCGCGTATACATACCCTTTACCCAAGAAGATGATGAAGAGTTGGAAGCTTTTGTAGCCAGCAAGGCAAGGAAAGGTGCTTCACTCAGCGGCAATGCTATATACAAAGAGCTGGAAGCGAGGAACCCACGTCACACCCATCACTCTTGGAGAGACCGCTGGCTCAGGCACTTGTCGCTCCGAGAGCCCGTCGACGAAGAGGAAGAAGAGGTTCCTCTCGAGCATGACGCTGCCACCGCTGATGATAACGACGTTCATGTCCGTTCAGCTTCAGTCGAGCCACCAATCAGCAAGCCACCACTCAAGCGTGCAACCTTCAGAATCCCCCCAGGAGCATCAGTATCTGCAGAAAGTTTAAAGAACACCGCTCCTAGATCAGACGTTCCACATTCGACTGTGGCAATGAAAGAGAAAGCATCAAAAAGCACACCCCAAGCCTTTGTACGAGACAGTGCTGCAAGTCAAAGAGAGCCTGTTGCAGATCCTGAGCCTCTCCCAACCACATCCCGACCCACTATNATCTCGCCCAGCTGCAACATCCAAAAACCAGGCCAACACTCCGATGGCTAGAATCCCGACTACCAGCTCGCCTGTCATGTCGCAACAACCTTCAGCCCACCTTCAGACCCTGCATACCCANNGCCATCAACACAGGCTCAAGCTCAAGACTCCCGTTCGTCTTTCCGTCACATAGCAGTGCAGGCAGAACTCGAAACTCAATACCATGACGACTCGACTTTCACAAAGGAAGATTTTAAGAACCTTCTGAGCGTGGCTCTTGACGTACAGAATGTTCGCGTTGGACGCTACCACGAAGCATGGACCGCCTGGGCTGATTACACCGAAAGTCATAATGCTGTCGAGTGGCGTTCATTCTACGAAAGGCGTGTCCTGCCTGTTGCACTCCAAAAACAAGATGATCCTGAGTATCTTCAGGAGCCAGGTCATGAAGGATGGGTCAAGTTCTGGCAGACCCAAGGACAACCAATCACAACTTTGCCATATCTTGAGCAAGAGACCATGACCGCAATGCAATCAGCTCCTACAAAACCTGCCGAGACTGAAGAAGAGTCGACACCTCGCCTCTCGAGGACAGAGCCTCCAGAACAAGACGAAGAGATGGGGGATGTGTCAGATCTTGCCATCAAAGTGGAGAAGACTACAACAATGTCATCTGCCAAACGGAAACAAGACGTCCGCGAGAGTTCTGTGAAAGAAGAGCCCGCGCCCAAACGTCGACTCACGGCAACACCACTTCCCGCGCCGCACAAAATTCCCGCTCTTGTGCAAATTGTCCATCAGCCCAATGCTGATGATGTGGTCAGCATTTCCAGCAAAGTTGCACCTTCATCAAGTCAGCACTCCGATGATGAGGAAGAAGTTTCTAAAGATCAAGCCGCTGAACAATTACATCGCGAGATGGTAGAGAATAGGGATACTCGCCATCAGCTGACTAGAGCCAATCTTTCACGTATCCAAGCAGAAGCTGACTTGCCTGAGAAGAGAGCTGTGGATATAGAGGAAGATGAAGAGAACGACGAGCAGCCCGGCTTTGCAGACTACCTAGCGAGCATGTTGCCGCAAGGCATGAAAGACAAGGTTCTTCATACCATTGAGACACACGATCATGAACTAGATCGAGATGAAGAGGATGGCGAAGACACTCTCATGCACAACAAACAACAAGACGAGCGCGAGTACGACCCCGCCCTCCTAGAAATAGACCCAGATCTCGACAACCCCTCCTACAACTCCTCCGCCGAGTATCGTGCCAACAACACCAATATTCATCTAGACGCCCCGCAAACTCAGCCCTGGGAAGTTTCCTCTGCGCCCTCTGCATCACAGCAACGAAACCAACGTCTCTCCACCCAAGCAATCTATGAAGCCGAAACACAACCCTTTGACGCTGAAATCCCGCTCCCACCTTCTGATTTTGCACAAGAAACCCAAGTTTATGCTGCTGCAAACACAGACTCTCAGATCTTGTCTGCTGACGAGATGTGGCCCTGGATTGATGGACAAATCTCTGCCGGGCATTTTGAAGATACTGTGATTACTGCTCTGCGCAAAACATCATTCAACCCCAAGTTGGCTGCTCTGGTGCTTGAAGCCAGAGGAGAAGATCTGGATGCAGCTGGTGTATGGACAGAAGCTGAAGATGCAGTCGTCGAGGGTAGTGATGCCAGAGCAATCAGAAGATTGGAGTCGAAACATGGAAAAGGCAGTGCAATGGCCAGACTAAAGTTCCTCAGTGACTGGAGAAGAGACAAGGAGATTGCAGAGATGGGTGAACAGGAAGCAGACTGAGAGTATAAATCGATCGTAGCGCTGTTGATATTCCACCAACTCTTTATGGATACATCACTATCCTCAAAGGTGCTTCACGCTGATCCATGTGTCGTTTGGATGTGCCATGCGTCGTTACCATCAGTAGCATATCATGTTTCGTCTTTTTCTAGAGTTCTGTTCGACCTCAAAAAGGCTTTCTGCTTGTCCTTGACCCCTTGGCAATGATGTTTCTTTCATCCTTTCTCTTCCATCCTCTGACTCTGTTCTGAACAACTCGATCGAATACTGTAATGTCCCTGGCTTATCAAGATTGACTGCCAAAAAGAATAGGTTGTATGAAGTTGTAGAAGGTATATATATGTATGTTATTTACAAATAGTGTGCACACTCCTCCTTCATGAAAGGAGTGATGATCAAAGTCTAAGCTTTACTTCCTCCAGCATTGGCATGAGCAGGAGCAGCAACAGCAGCACCACCTCTACCACCACCTCTTCCTCTACCTCCTCTATTCTTTGGCGCCTGACCTTGCGGTGCAGCAGGTCCAGAAGCATTAGCATCTTTCTTCTTATCATGTTCCTTTACATCCTTTGCTCCTTGCTTTCCACCTCTTCCACCTCTCCCTCCCTTTTTCTTTGCCCCAGCTTGAGGATCTTTGCCCTCGGCAATTAGTCTAGCGAACTCTTCATCTTCCTTCATTCGACGTGCCTCATTGTCCCACCATTCTTGGAACTCTTGCTCGGCTTGGATTTCCTGCAGACTTCTTGCCGCTGCGGCTTCTTTGATAATGTCTTTTTCGTATTGCTGTTGTTCGAGGATTTCTTGGAGCGAGAGTTGAAGTGCCGGCTCGGGATTGCGCGGAGAATGCACGATGCTTTGGATAGAAGGGAAGGACTGGGAAGAAAGGTCTGGAGGAGGTGGGGGCGCGAGAGTCGATGCTGCGGTTTGTGCTGAGGGTTTGCGTTGGGGTTGTGGCTGAGATTGGCGGGGTGTGGGTGTAGGTCGGACCGGACCTGCTTGTGGTAGAATACGCGGTGATGCTGGGGCTGGTGATTTGAGTCCTGTCTGGGTAGAAGGTGCGCGCTGTGGACCAAGTCTTGGAGATGGATAGCCGGACGCGATGGGTGAACCTGGGCCCAAGCTTTTGGGGGAAGCAGCGACAGCAGCGGCAGGCGGTTTAGACAAAGGCTTGGGGTTTGCGATTGTTTGCCGCATGGTCAATTGAGGAGTATTGCTCGTTCGGGTTATAGATTGAGGTCTGTTCGATGGACCAGGCGAAGGTGGCTTCTCGCCAATCACGTCCTTCAATGAAGCTATCTTCTGCCCAGAAACAACCTGCCATGGCGAGGCCACCTTTGCTGCAATCTTCTCTTCGATCTCGACGACTGCTGATTGCTGTGCTTGCTGCATTTTTTTGCGTTCTTTCTGTGACACCCTTGCAGCAGATCTTGCTGCAGAAGCGTCTTCAGACGCCTTCTCTCTGCTAGCTGCAATGCCCAATGAAAGATTCGATACACGACTCGAAGAGGCTTGCGCCATGATATCCTTCATCTCCAGCTTAGCACCTGGCGAAGGAGTTGCTGCCCATGGTACACTTGAAGAGCTCGCAGGAGTGGCGGGTGTCATGCCTGTGACTAGACCACCTTGCTTTGGTGTACCAGCATGCGGTGTGGTAGGCTTTCCTCGAGGATCAAGCCAGGAATCAGTAGGAGTTCCAACAGCTGTATCTCTACGTAAGGTCCTCTCGAATTCAGACTCTGTGCCACTTGGTCGCGTGCTGTTCGGATCCAGTGGTGAGCTCTCTTCGATGCTTGTACCCAATGAAGGCACAGCGGATTTGACTCTCAGGGTGGAATCGACAGCAGCCGACTGAGCGTCCTTAGACTTCCTTCGTACCTTTTGTTTTGCGTGTGCACTGTCATCCAAGCTGCCACCTCTGAAAGAATTGGGACCCCACCCATCAAGATCTTGGTGCTTGGCATGTAGCATGATCGAGTCAAGCTTGATTCGGCGATCGCGATCGATCAAAGCAGCGAGTTCTGGGTGACGCTCGAGGAGCAAAGCCTCAGCGCGACCACTCTTAGCAAATGGCATCAAAGCAAGCTGGTTGGCACGGACAATGTCGTCCAGCTCCAAAAGTAAATCTTCGTCAAGCTCATCCAGTAGTCCGCCTTGCAGCATCGCTTCTAGACTCAGACACAGATATTCAAGACTTGCATCCTTGAACTCTGTGACAGAGCTAGGCGCGATAGCGTTGAGCAGACCACATACATTCCGAGTTGTGACATATTGGCCAACAACTCTCTGACAAACTTGTGACAGACGATCCAGCATGAGTTCGTTAGCAACAGCCATGACTTCCATAACGACATCGAGGAACTCATCAAGATCAGCACTGACAATGTTGTCGAACAGCTCCTCACCAGTATCTGCGTAGATGTGGCGGAGAACTATTTGGAAAATGTTGGTCTCGATGTGTTGAAGATCGACATCGATAGCATCAGAGGCATTCTGCAGGAGACCACGTCTTTCTTCAAGCCAACGACCACCGGCGCGGCCCATAAACATACCCTCGAAGAAGGGACATCTTTGGCAAACCATGGCACCATGAACCAGAACTTCACCATCGCTCAATTGAACACGGATATCGCCATTGGCAAAGTAGTTCTGCTCCCTGGCGGCGATCTCGAGGTCCATATGTAAGCATCGTTCGGGTTCGATCATCTGCCGGACTGCAGGCTCCAACTTGAAAAGTTCGAGTTTGGCAGCGACCTTCATTAACTCAGTACGAACTTGACGATAGCGGAAGGCCATTGGCGAGCGTCGAGTATGGTGCCAAAAATCGACGATGGTATCAGTATAGCAGTAAAGAAGGAGGTCCACTAGAGTAAGAGCATCAAGTCCTTGGAAGATCAAGACAGGTCGATCGGAAGAGTCGCGTTCGCAGATGAGGAGCTCAGGAACGCTGAAGTCGTCACCCTCTTTGAACGCCTGGAGGCCTGCCCGAAGAACTCTGCTTCGTCCTGCCAACATGAACTGATGAGCGGGGAAGCGGAGATCAGACACGTTGGATGCGAGGATGACATCGAATCCGCTGAAGTTTTCGTTCGCGGCTTGGCGCAAGTGTGCCTCAAGGTCTTTCTCGATATCCTTTGACTCAAGCAGGTGCTTACGAAGCAGCTGTACTTCAGTAGGCTNTTTGCGACCTTGCCAGAAACGAGGCTGCGGCTCCTCACTCTCGCTGTCAGGAACATCCTCAAGGACACTAAGGTCGTGAAAACAAAGAAGAGGGAACAAGTCCTTCCAAACGGTCTGTTCCTCAACCAATGTCTGAGTCTTGGTAACATCACAATCTCTGCGAACAGCAGCGTAGGCACCATATGCTGAAGATCTGACTGCTGTGACGCGGGAAAGACCAGCGATACGGGAGAACTTATAATCTTTGGGCTTGTATTGAACAGCGTCCAGAGACTTTCCGTCCTTGATCTTCGTTCTTCTTGATCGTTTCCAGACACTTCCTTCTTCGGTGGTGAGGATGATGGAGCCATCGGCATCTACGCCAACATCGCGGGCTGCCATGTTATTCTTCTTCAGGGACCAAATTTCTTGCGGCGCAGAGAGCGCCCCTCTGATCTTTGTCGGATTCGTCGTAGATGCATTGGCTTGGTCCTGGCGTTGACTGACAGATAGTGTATAGACCTCACCGCTACTGGACATGGCGCAGATGGTGTCACCACCTGCAGTGATCTTGCTGATGTGGTTGACAGTATCGTCGTATCGGGTGATGCGGAAGCTGTCCTTCAAGAAACTGCTTGAGCCATCGAGAGGGAACTGAATCTTCGCATAACCATAGTTTGCAAAGACCCAGACGTCATGGTTCTCTAGAAGACAGACAGTAGCGCGGTCAATGGCAGCAACCGAGACAATGGAAGCAGCAAAACGAGAAGCGGCAACTTTTCGAGGAGTAACTTGATACTCCAGAGAACGAGCATCAGAATCGACAATGCCAAGCTGCCCTTCATTCTTGCCAAAGGTATAGAGGGATGAGGAAGTATATGCAACTGAGTGGATGCGAGAAGCAGCGACACCAATCACAATCTCACGCTTCAGAGGACCAAAGATCTGCGCTGGTACGCAACTGACAGGATCCTCGTCCATGATTCCAGTCTTTGGTAATGTGTATCCAAGCTGGCCGTAACCATTGCTACCCCAGGAGAAAACCTCACCACGATCATCAACAGCCAGGGTGTGGTTCTGACCCAGGGCAACGGTGGCAATCTTCTTGCGCGACAAAGAACCACCTTCGATGCAGACGAATCTGAAACGTGATTGTTCATCTCCGACACCAAGACGGCCTCCAGGTCCATGGCCACACATGTACAAGTTTGACTCTGGATCGGTGGTCAAGACTGCTGTTGACAGTTTGGACATGAAGACATCCTGGATGATCAAAGGACGATTCTTGACAGCCCAAGGCATGGACTCGACAGGGAGTGAGCGTGGCAGAGCAGAATGACCTGCCTGTGTGATGACAGGATCGAACGTGGTCCACGTCTTCTCATACTCTCGGACGTACTCGCGGTAGAATCGTTGCAACAAGTGGTCTGGCCGTCTGAGTGTAATGCGCTCCGGGTACTGTCGGTCATCCTCATCTCCGAAGCCGAGAGTGATGTTCTTGTTGCTTCCGAAGGTATAGACCTCATCGCCAGAGATATTTGTCGCAAACTCAATGACTCTTGTCCTGACATGGTGTTCGTCGTCCATAGGCACTTCCTCTTCACTAGCATCAGAACCGGCTCTTGGTCGTCGTTGTCCTTCTGGGCGCAAAGTGCGGTCCTTGATCGTCGCAGCATACAAATCCAATGGACCAAGCCCTTCTCGATCTTTTGTTTTGACCAAGCCTCCTCCTATTCCTCTTCCAAGAGCATCCGATGTGTCTCGCTCCAGAATTGCGCGAGCAATGGTGATGTTTCCAAAGTAAAAGGCACGATGTAGGGCGGTCCATGAGTTCTCGACGTCTTGTAGATACAAATCGATCAAGGGATGCTCGACAAGGGCTTGGGCGAACTCGAGGGCGTTCTCGGATGTAGATGAGGCGGCGTGGTGAAGTAGGGTCATGCCATTCGAATCGCGCCAGTTGATGTCGGCTCTGGTAAGGGAAGGCATGCTTCCTGCATGCGGCGAGAAGTTGGAAGGCTTGCGAGCCTTTGCGGTGAGTGTGGGCGAAGTACTCAAGGTACCAGGACTCGAGCTCACGGCGGCGGGAGTCTGCATGGACTGAGCCCTGTGTTGGTGTGGACGGACATTGTACGAGGCCGTCTCGAGTAAATGTCGAAATCGGTCGACATCATCCTGGAGGTAGTACTTCCACAAATGGCTGCTCATGTGCCGGGATTGAAAGGTCTGGCTCTGCGACACCTCGCGATGATCTCGGGGATCAAGGCGTGTTTAAAGGTGTATGGGCAGCGCCGACTGGGGAGAGGGGGGAAGGAGAGAAGCGGTGGACGGTTCCCGTTGATCAGGCGAAGTCTTTGTTTCTTGCGACGGCAGCTGAGGCGAGGCTGTGTGGTGTGGGAAACGGAAAGAGAGAAGCTGTGCGAGTGGCGACTGCTGTTTCGGGCTGAATGCGCTGACGAGTATGGGAGTCGCAGATATTGTACTTCTTGATCGAAGTAGTTGTATAGCTGCGAGGTGAGCGTTCTTCTAACGAGCAAACGTGGTAGACGAGGTGGTGAGAGATGTATACAAGAGATGGTGCCGGCATGGAGGGGTCGCGAACAATGACATGTGGGATGAGGCTCGGGCCAATCGCCTTGAGTCTCGCCGCCATGCCCACCAAGGACACCTCCTGAACACTCCCGACATTGGATCACTCCACCACATGCCCCTCATATCATCACCTGCTTCCCCTACAGAAACACTAACCTCGTCTCTAGCCCCTCATACCCCTCTCATCTTAGTCGAGCATCGAGGGTGTGATACAAAGACTTCTTGGCGTGCCCGAATGCGGCGAAGCCTCAACACCGAGGTCAGGGTGTCAGACATGACATGAGTTTACGGCAGTATATCGCTTGTCAGGCACCGTTCAAGGTCACCTAGCAACTGGTGAACTATTAAGCGAATCAGTAGGATGGTTTGTGATAGGTCTTAGACAATCTTAAACATCATGTACACTGAGGCGTGAGCATCGCGGCATTACAGTCTTGTTTTAGCTTGTCAGCTTGCTGAATCTACTACCAGCGTCATATTCAACGACTTCCACGCAACCAACACTCTTGAATAACCGTGCTTGTGTGCGTGAATAAGTGCCTGTTCTCATCCGTCAAACTTTCACAAAAGAGCTTGACTATTGAATTGCATCTGATTCTTGATTCTTGATCTAAGAAGCAAGAGCAATATTCATAGACGCTTAGTCATCCACAACTAACCACGCTTCAACACGCGCTGCCAACTTCGCTCCATCGAACATCACCACTGATCTCACCAAGCAGTTCCACCGGCCACATCAAAATAGTAATAGTGGCAAACTCCCAGCCAAGAATCAACCTGCTTACCGCAAAACAATCAACACCACACAAACCTCCGGATCAAAAACAAAGCAAACATGGACATATTCAGCACCATACCTTTCTCCACCACTCACTTATACCCAACCTTCCTCACCCTCATCCCTCTATCCCTTCTCTACACTCTAACCCTATCACCTCTCCCTTCTTCTCCAGCTTTCAGTCTCGATTACCTCCTCCACCTCTGCCGTATCCTCTTTCCTCCTCTTATGCAAATATACTCCCTCTGTCTCGGCTACACCCTCTGTTTCCTCGTCCTGCACTCCTCCATCCCTATCACCTCCTTCCTTGTGGCAGCTTGGTATACCACTCTCTACAGTTTGTCCACCCTAAACACTCGCTTCGGCCACGGCACCAGCAAACCCATCACTTGGAGCGAGCAAACATCCGTAATCACAGGAGGTGCAGGAGGGCTAGGGTGGCTTATCGCTCAGATCCTAGAGCGAAAAGGCGCAACAGTGGTGGTTTGGGACATCAAGCCTCCACAGGGTTACGCAGAAGATGCAGAGCAAGGTGTAAAGTGGTATAAAGTGGATGTTGGACAAGTTGAGCAAGTGGAAAGTGCTTATGCAAAAGTCAAGGAAGATGTACGTAGTCCCATTTTTCTTGATTTTTCTTTCCATGTCACAATTTCTACTGCAATCCTTTTGAGACGAGGACCTTTCTGCTTCATGATCATATTCGAGATTGCTGGTGTCTATACTAATGAAACACAGCTCGGCACACCCACCATCCTGATCAACAACGCAGGCATAGTAAACGGACAACCACTGCTCTCCCTTTCCGCCTCAGCCATCTCCCGCTGCTTCCAGATCAACACCCTCTCCCATTTTCACACCTGCCGCACTTTTCTGCCTGGATTTCTTTCTGCACCCCAAGGCGGCACAATCGTCACGGTGTCTTCTGTACTGGGCCACCTAGGCGCTTCCCACCTGACAGACTACACAGCCTCCAAAGCCGCCTTACTAGCCTTCCACACCTCTTTGCGTGCAGAAATCGCTCAAATGCAAGGACAACAACAATATCCCGGCGCCAGCAACACGAAAATGATCCTAGTAAAACCTGGCCAGTTGTCCACAAATATGTTTTCAAGTCTCAAGTCGCCGTCTGAGTTTTTCGGGCCGGTGGTGCAGGCAAAGGATTTGGCTATGGCGGTTGTGGATAAGATTGAGGAGGGCAGGGATGGAGTGGTTTGTATGCCTGTGTATGCTGCATTGGTCGAGTGGTTGGGTGTTTTGCCGGTGGGGTTGCAGAGGGCTGCAAGGTGGATGAGTGGTGTGGATGGGGCGATGCAGACTTTTGGCTCCAAGAGAGAGTGATGGAGGGAAGTGGCTGTGAGAAGCGGTTCCTGGGCTGGTTCGGAGGAATATGCATTATTGTGGCTGCATCTTTAGCAACTTTCCTCGCAAAAGGTGGTGGGAAGGAGGTCTTCAATGAATGATTGCCGGTCCAGAACCAATTTATCTGGTAGTTGACATATATGTCAGGCAAGAGGCTCAATCAAGAACAGAGCTGAGAGTCCAGAGGGCGCCGAGAGCGAGCAGAGCTGCACCACCGACGGCTTGTTTGCTCCAAGTAGAGGCTTGATCAAGCAGTTTTGCAGTGCCAAAAGCATGTTCCTCAGCTTGCGATGGCGAGACAGTGGCCTCGGCATAATCGACGTCTGCAGTGATGTTGTTCAAGTCTTTCATCAAATCTCTTGACTTGTCCATCAAAGCCTTCAAAGCAAGAAGATCGGCTTTCCATTCAGCCAACGAGTCTTCACCACTCTTTGTATCGTCAACCTCGACACCTTGAACATTGCCAAAGAAGTCAACCACTTTTCTGTTTCTCGCCTCGTGCTCTCCGCCAGAGAATAAATCATAGCGGATACCAGCGTCGGAGTGGACTTTGACGGGATCGTAAGAGTCAAAGAGTTGGCCCAGAGTAACGTTGCTGCTTGTGGAGCCAATTTGCTCTTCCAGGAACTCGAGATTGTAGTAGGTCCAGCGGTCGATGACTGCGACTCCGACATCTTGATCGGCGTGGTGGGAGTACGAGGATTGGTGCAGGGCCGAAGAGCCAGTGGCGATGATATTGGGAGTGTAAAATTGGCCGTACATGGTGTTGGCCTGGCAGGTGTCGATCATGAAAAGCAGCTCGTTGTATCTGTGATGAGTCAGACCTTGTCGGTCCAAAGGTGCATGGAGTGGAGAAGGTTACCTCTTCTTCTCCCACATCTGCTCAAAGGCATCGGCCAAATCGTGCGAACTGATCTCCTCTGCATCCTGAAACTTCAAAAACTCGTTTCCTCCATGTCCTGTCATGTAGATCAAGATATTACTCCTATCATCCGTCATCAACCTCTTGCTCCTCGGCCAACTTTCTGGCCATCTGTCCGTCAGAAGTCGTATAAAGTTCTCCACGGTGACTTCGTAGCCGCGATAGTCGACTTCAATACCACTTCCCATGGCATCGTACAGATCCAAGTCACGGGACTTGTCGTTGAAGACGGAGCCAGGGAATGAGTTGCGAGGGTTGCAGGCCATGTCATCAGGCAGCATGAGGATGATCTGCGAGTCGGGAATGCCGAGGCGTTTGACGGTGCGGTACAGGGAGAGGGTATTCGCGAGATGGCGGTAGTTGAACCAGAAACGTGAGGTCGAGACGAGGACGGCCCAGTTGGATGTGTGCGTTGCTGAGCATGCACATATATATAACGCGAGCAGCAGCAACGCGCATTGTATCTGCGACTTCATCTTGGTGATATGCTGACACAAAAGGCGTCGATGATTGTGTCGAAAGGAGAGATGGACTTGGTGATGATGCAGCCCCTCGAATGTTTGGTGCACGGTCGAGTCGGTGCAAACATGAGCCGAGACACCGCTGCCGGGCGGTGAAGCTTCGACCTTGACTTCACATCTTCGCCTTGCCTGAACACTGCATCCTCTCGAATGTCTATCACATTTAAGTCACAATCACAGTGTATATTTAGTAGTACACTGACTCGGCCGTCTGTCAAACCGTCAGGTGGGGCGCGTGTCATGGTAAGCGATCAACACAACCGGAACCAGCGATACAAAGAAACGATTGTAGGCTTCTATCCTTTGATTTTTTCCCATCTTGTCCTCACCGAACCCCATTTCCCTCTACATGCAAAGCACTCGAAGTGGAGAAATCCTAACCATTTCTTCCAAAATCACGAAAAGAATAATGCAAGCAAAGATCAAATCCGCAAAGCTCGTGCTGAAGAGAACGAGGGCAATGATATGTGTCTCGATGTGGAAGAGAGCACTATTCCGTCACCAGTACAGGAGATACAGAAGTTGCAAAGTGATATTGTTGATGAGGAGAAACCCGCAGAGGCAAGTTCTGCTCAATCTCGAGCAGGTCTGCCTCACTCAATTTAAGTTGCCTGCCATTTAAGCGGCACGCTCCTCGATCTATCTGTCACGCCGCTGCTGCTGCTCAGGGTCCAAGATGCAGTGTCAAGCACCTTCTCCAGGCTCGTCCCATGTCAAAGTACTACTCAATCGACACGGCCGGGAGGTTGTTGTCCGGAACGCCCGACGACGAGGTCCTCAACCGCTACCACAAAGCAACCCTACTCCATCTCATCATCACTATCTTCAAGTACAGTACTCTACCTTCCTGTGCGCTTCTTGATAGGTGGTACAGGCGTAACAGAGCGCTTACGACTAGGAGATCGCTCCATCATCTCATCATCGCTATCCTCAAGCACAGTACTGAGTCTACCTGCAACCCTGCGCTTCTTCACAGGTGGCGCTGGCGTGACCGAATGACTGCGACTTGCTTCAGTCATCTCATCGTCGCTGTCGGCAAGTGTGGTGCGCCTTGCCCTGTATTTCCTGATCGGAGGTGCTGGGGTAATAGACCGAGAACGACTGTAAAGTCCACTCATCTCGTCATCGCTGTCTGCTAGTGTGGTGCGACGAGTGCTGTGTCGCTTGATCGGAGGTGCGGGAGTGACGGAGCGACTTGGGCTTCTCGTTGCAGCTGCTGTTGTCTCCTTCTCGGTTGCTCGCTTCCTCTTGACTCCACGAGGTCGCGGCGAGAATTTTTCGCTGACGGGACTCACAAACAGCTTTGAAGATCCAGACGAGCTTGCAGAAGTGGGTTCAGCATACTCGCTCCCTGAGTCAGACTCCGCATACGAGACCTCTTCTGTGCGTCTACCTGAGCGACGTGCTGCGGGTTGCTCAATAGGTTCCTTTTCTCTGCGACGAGCGGCGCGTTGATCTCGTTGCTGCACTTCTGCTTTCTTCTTTCTCTCGGGAGCTTTGGATGCAAGAGGGATAGCCTCGTCTTGTATGCGAACCCAATCTTCTTCTGTGAATTTCTGCATTGGTGTTTCATCTGCTGTTCGTCAGTTCCCTCTCACACCCCTGTCACTTGTGTATAAGAAACTACCGTCTACATTCGCTGGACCCTCTCGGGAAGCTCTCTCCTCAAGCGCTTGTGTGGTAGGACTATGCGGTCTGACTTTCTTCAACACATCCAGCAGCGAGACACGCTCACCACCGAAGACCTTCTTGTGCGCACCGGCAGTCATGGGTGGGTACTCCTTGCCAGGGCGGGGGGGCTCAATGACGGAGCGACCAGAGCCGGGAGCCATAACTGTAGTCAAGGGATGGTATGGGACTGAGTGGTATCAGGATAGCGAGATTGGAAGATTGGTAAGTGTGCGTGTGTGAATATGTATGGTGATTTGGTTGTGTGAATAGTCGAAACGTGGAGATATATCTTTTGAGCACTCACTGCAGAGAAACACAATAAAAGGTCAAGTTAGACGCATCCGGCACTTTTGCGCTTTGTTCTCTCGACATCGATTGCACTTATTAAATTTCCTTCTTTACTTCTTTCAGCATCTCGAATCGACCACTCTGAAGCCGGAGATAGTATTCGACCGCCCTTTGCGGTCACGACATGGATGTCGGTCTGTCCAGTTCATCTTTGGCAATATTGAGAAACAAAGAGAAATTGGATCAGAGCTCGACGAGCTTGTTCCCCGTGTCAGACCAGCAGCGTTGTGGTCGATGACTCTTGCGATGAGTAAACGAACACGATCCAGCATGTTGCAAATACCTAGAAGGTGATTCTTGAGTCCATGTCATGTAAACCCATGCATGAAATAGACAAGTCCTGAGCCTCAAAGTCATTGAGAAGGGCCATGTTCATCTTGACATTGGTGACCTCTCGCAGTAATCTGTGACGTTCTCGAGGTCGGTAGCCACAGTGACCGGACTATCCGGCGGGCTGTCGTCGAATCCTCTTGGAGTTATTTGCCTACTCTCTGGGGCTCCGAGGTGTATATGCTGCACTGGGAGTTGGTGTGAAGGAAAGAAACTTGAAAACAGAGCAGAATTACTGACGGCATTACAGGCACGGGGATGTTTGTTTTGTTCTTGAGATATTCCTACACACCAAGCATGCTCGAGAATGATGAGAAGTGAGATCGGTCACGCAGATCTCCAGACGAGAGAGAAGATTGATGATCAAACGGGCTGGTTTATCAGCTACTGATTTGTGACTGCCATTCAGGGAAGATCGTTGAATGAAACTCATTCGAGTAGCACACTCAAGATGCAAGAGTATATAAATCACGATTCAATGATTGTGAATACGAATGTTGCGTGCGACAGACATAAACGCAGCATAATCAAACCCCTTGCGCTAGCCTCAGCAAAAGAGCGTCTTCGAGCCCTGCTCGCAGAACCGCCTTCTTTCTCAACCACACCAGAAACCCGACTTCATGTCTGGCTTGAAATCTCTCCATTGATAGTTCACATCACTCTGATATATCCCCATTGCTTTAAAAGACTTTATAATCTCTCGAACCCTCCAAGCGTTGAGCTCGCGGACTGGTTCCTCCTTGCTGAAGTCGACTCCGACGGCGACATAAGGTACCCAATGGAATCGAGTGAAATGTCGGTTCCCGGGTACAAGTATGCCAAGGGGGCGAGGTTTGCCAAGCTTGAATTCTTCTCCGAAAGGCAGACCCTCCGAGGGCACACCGGGCCAGAAGACAACTTTGCTTATGATGGTAAGCTGGGTCGAACTTTGAGCTGGTATGGGCCTCTCGGGTGGAGGACGTCGGATGTTGGGTATAGGAGGCGATGATCTGGGTGGCAGCTTTTTCGGCGAAGGTCGCAGAGTATGTGGGGACGGAACGGGTCGATTCAGCCCTGGTGGAGCAGGCGGGATAGTTGAGACTCTTGACGAGGACAATCGAGCTTTGACAGGTGTCTGGACAGGAGTGTCGACAAGTGCTTGAGGTCTCTGGTTTGCTGGCATGAATCGGTTAGCCAGAGTCAGTCTGAGAGCCTATACGATAGCTCACTGATATCGGAAAGATCGGACCGTTCTCGAGCTTTTGCAGCCCTCACGTCGGTACCTTCTGACTGCTCAACTTGTGATTGCTCAGACGAAGGAACAGTGGTACTTGAAGAGACTTCTCGTGTATGGGAAACAACTCCGTCGGTGTTGCGTTGCTGCTCATCCTTGGTCTACTCAGACGGCGGCTTGGTGTTCATGGCAAAATAACGAGATCGATCAGCTTCCTTGTGGACATTGTATGGCTGCTCATCCTCGTCCTACGGGGATGGCGGCCGATTGGGGTCTGTGGATAAGTGGAAGTCGGGAGCCGCAGGATTGAGCAGTTGCCGAGTGATTGGATGACAAATGGGCAGGGCGGCATTCTTGCCCCGTTTGGGAGGGCTCATCTCGCTGATAGTGAATGGGGTTTTGGAGTAGCAATATAGACGAATGTAATCCCGGTAGAGGGATGATGCGACAACAAAACATAAATTTGGCTGTGGTGTTCAAGGTCGCAGGTTTGGCGAGCGAAGCTGAAGTCGTTGTTGTTGTCCGCGTCACGGGAGAAGAAGTTCAGGAAGGAACGACTGGCCCACTTGCGTGGCAACAGCTTGATGCATGCCTTTCCGTTCAGTACTCAAGCCAACACCATAAACTCACGAACTGTATGAGCATAGTCCGATCTGCATTCGGAAGCCAAGTGGAAAGAAAGAGTCATAGAATCATTATGCTTCATGGACTGTACTTATGGCGCGCGCCTTCTGTTTCTGTGTCCCTCCAGCGATGAAGGTGTACAAAAGCCTTGCTCGGTTGTGATGACTGTTGACAATCTTGCTCATGTGTACAAGCGCTCGCAACGAATACAGCGAAGAGATCTTCCAAAAGAATCTGACTCAAAAGACTACAGGTATAATCAGTGGGTCGAATCTTACGACTAAGATCTTGACCTCGGCCAACCAGTACCAAGCCCTTCCAAGCTACGGTGTTGTGGTTTATTGGTATACTGTATCTTCATGGGAGTGAAGCTCTGGCAAGGGCGATCATGTTTTCAATTCTGCTCATTGGCAAGTTCTTAAAAATTTGTCATTTTGGATCTTTTGCGAGCGGAAAAGGACTGACACATGGCCTCTTAGAGTCTGAGTCCGTGGTGATATAGTCCAGCCCTGGCAGACTTCTCAGAATATGTACCCGACTTATGGCAAACTGGCAATATCAACCATGCCAGACTCCTCAGCGAAGGATACCCTCGAAAATTATGTTTTACAAGGAATGCTGATCTCGTGATGGCGACCACTTTGGACCAACGTGGGTTCTGAGAACGATCCAAATGCCTTCAGCGTCCATGACAAGAGGCTTGATGAGAGGCCTTCAATGCCTTCACTGCATCGGTATGGTTCGAGACAGGACAAATGCAAGGCTTGGTGAAGTAGGGTGGTGAGATGGAACCATAGGACGGGATTCGGCACTGCTTTCGCTGACAACTGCGATCAGAACCGAACCTGGTATCTCGCGGCGGCGATGATGTGAAGTTCTCAATCTGACTTGCCTCGCACTCGGTACGAACGGCTCAATTCAGGATGTCAGATTTGTGTTAAGTAAAATAAGGTTGCGGGGAAGGTGGACGATCTCTTGGGGAAACCGCTTCCCCAAACAAGCTTTGGTCTCGTCATCTCACTGTGCTCTGCTGGCATTGGACCTTCACAGCGGCAATGGGTTGTGGGAGATATATAGGTCGTTGAAGCATGTGATGTACCCTCGTTGTGGTCTTCTTCGCGTGCGGAACGAGGTATGTCACCTTTGTGGCTAGCTTCCTAGAGTTGACACCATGTTCTGGGGCTGATGTAAGCGGACGAAAGACGATCAACAGAGACCCAAGAGCATAAAGTGTCGCTATTCCCCTTGAGTTGTCGAGCTTCCGTTTTGCTGTGGTCCCTACATCCATTAAACTCAACAATGACAGTTCTTCTACCAATCAAGGAATCTTTCGATCTCCTCGGCTTGGGCCTGCTATTTATAATTCTCACTGGAGTCTACCTTGTCCTTTCCTCCGTGTTTGAATATTGGCGACTTCGACATATACCTGGGCCACCTCTTGCAGCGTGGACAAATCTATGGCTCATGCGGAACATGAACGGTAAAGAAAAGTTCTACGATGTTAGGAAACGACTGCATCAGAAGTATGGGCCTGTCCAACGTTATGGTCCCAACAGAGTCATGTTTAGCGACGTCTCTGCTGTGCATTCTGTACTTCCTACCTCGAACATTCTTCCNAAAGGTCTGTGTATGGATCGTAATGTTCATGGGCTATCGGAAAGTCTGATAGACCTCTCACAGGCTGACAGCTATGCTCCACTCAAAGCTTCTGTCAATGGCACAGAAGTTGCATCTTTCCTCGCTATCACCGATGATGACAGAGCTGCACGCTTGAAGCGTTTTCTGCATCCGACCTTTAGCCCAAACGGTGTCCTGCGCTATGAATCTCACGTTGACCATACAGTGTCCGAAATGGTGACCCATCTACGAAATGTCGGACCAACAGTCGACCTTGCGCCTTGGTTCGGTTGGTTTGCCTTTGACACCATCACTCGCATCGGCTTCAGCGAAGATCAAGGTTTCATGAGAGAACAAGGAGACATAGCCGGCGCTGGTAAGGCAGCTCAACAAAGGTTTGCCCATTGGATCTTCTACTGGACCATACCTTGGCTGGAGACAACCCTACACAAGAACTGGTATGTCAAGCACCGCAAATCAACAACTCAGTCAGGACTCGCAAAATTGGCCACACGAGTTGTCAACAGTCGCAAGGCCAAGGGAGGTCTTGGTACCCATCACGATCTGCTTGATCTGTACATGGAGTCCGGTAAGCAGGATCCGCAACTGTACACACCGAGCACCATACTCGGTCTGACCATGACGACCATCCATGCTGGTGCAGAGACTACAGCATACACTTCGGCTATATGCATGTACTGCATTCTCAGCGACAGACGTGTACACGACAAGTTGAGAGAAGAGTTGGAGTCCGTGTTGCCAAAGGCCGAAGCAGACTGGGAACTTCCTGACACGTCTACCTTGCGCAAGCTGCCTTACCTCGAAGCATGCATCAAGGAATCAGCACGATTGAAGCCCTCGAATAACATCATGGCGGAACGTGTCGTCAACACCGACAACGCCATCATTGCTGGAGTGTCGATCCCAAGAGGCACAATCGTAGCCATGAACACAGCTGGCCTAAACACGGATCAAAGTATCTGGGGCGCTGATATCGAAGTGTTCAGGCCAGAACGCTGGCTCGAGGCTTCTGAGGAACAGAGAGTCTTGATGCATCGTGCCAACCTCACTTTCTCAGCGGGTAAGCGGATCTGTCTCGGTATGAACATAGCATGGATGGAGATGAAGAAGGTCATTCCAGCGTTGATTATGAACTTCGATGTAAGCTAAACTTGATCTCTTATGCTTCCCTGCGTTATATGAGTGTATCGCTGACTGAACTTANNGATTGAGTTGGTCCACCCTGAGGACGACCTAAAGCAGACATCTGGTGTCTTTGGAGTTCCGGAAGAGATTCAAGTTTATATCCGTCCTCGTGTGAAGACCTGATCAAAGATTGTGGTTGTTTTTGACTGAATCAATTATGACTTCTTCATGCTGCAAATACTCGATGCCAAAATTTTGCTTGACCATGAAACTACGTGCTATACTCTAAAACCAGGATCTTGTCCCCACTGGTGGCTGTCGAAGTACACGCCGCCGACTAGCATGGGTGACTGGAAGCCTGATTATACCGTTTGCCCATGAACGCATACCAGCACGCCAAGATCGACCCGCGGCAGGGTCAAGCTGTCCGACGAGCACAAGCAGCAGTATCAGCAATGGCAACATTGGTAGCAGTTGTAACAAGAGCAGCAACAGCACTAGCAATAGAAGACGCACAAAGATAAACTCTGTCAAACCTCGATATTCAAGCTCACTACCATCAACTACCCTGACCATTTCCTCTTCTAACCTTGCTCGAGGCCGTGCATGATTTTAGGACATGCGGCCTCCTGTCAGCTATTCCAGGGTGCATGTAGTTTGTGGTTTGCCAAAATTGCCACAATCTCCATCTTCTAGTGTTGGCCTTGATGGAAGAAAAAGAAAAAACATCCCTAGAAGGTCATGCCAACAAGATATTCATCTGGATCCGCTACATTGGTAACTCTACCATATGAGGTCTCTCCAGCCAGTTTGACCTTGCTGGTGTAGCACTGTGAGCGGGTCCTGCCGCAGTGTGGGACCAACTTCTAGGATTGAAGAGCTGCTGATTGCCTGCTCAAGTCTGCTACGCATGGACAACGAGTAACTCACACTCGAGATAGGCACGATGCTGGGCGGACGACCGACTTGATACTTTGGAACGCTGGCCTTGATGTGAGTCGGGGGAATGAAGAAAGAAATCTGCCCTGCACTCCTTCTTTTGCTCTGCGTAAACCAGTCTCTGTTTTCCGTGCTTCATGCTCCATGATGTTCAATGCTTTTCTGCTCCATCCTGCTCCGTCCTGTACCTGCCCATGCCTCCATGATCACATTACCCATGTGCCCATGCAATGCGTGCAATTTCTGCCAACCGGAAATAGAACAAAGGAAAAATCAGAAAGAAGAAGAGCAACGAGACGAAAGCGGTCAGATGCGTTCAGCGTCGCAACAAAGGCTCTTAAGTTGAGAAAAGTCTCTCCGTTCGCGTGTGTTGTTGAGAGAAAGAATGGTATGATCGTTCCCGTGTGTTGATCTTCAGTGTTGAGGGGCCCATGCTGTGTTGACTGATGTTTGTGTACAACAATGCTTCTGGATAATGGCATGCTGTGCTGGTGCAAGAGGAAAAATGATGCTGTATTAAATAACGCTCGAATAAGGTCATACTGTTATCGAGTTGCTGACCTGACTGACATTCTGGTCGCGCAGGAGTGTCGATGGACTTGGAAGCTCAGTGCTTTCTGCCATCGTGGACATAGCCGTGCTGAGCGAGACGACGGCGAATTCTCTGTTGACGGAAGCGGTTGGCATCGCGGACCGCTGTGGCATCTTGCCAATCGAACTGGGCGTTTTCGACCTTGCGAGTAACGTACTGGACCCACTCCCACTGAGTACGAGCAGGGTTGAGCGGCAGCTGAACACCAAGTGGGGAGGGTGTGCCAGTCTTGAAGTGCTCGTTCAGAGCCAGAGCTCCAGCTGGGATGGCTGCGTAAGTAGCGGGTGCCTTCGTAGGGAGGTTGGCGGGAGTTGGGGCAAGTATCACTGGTTGTTTGGCGGTCTTGGGAGTGGTGGCCTTCTTGGTGGTAGTGGTCTTCTTGGGAGTGGGAGCCACATCGGTCTCCTCGTCCTCGTCTTCTTCAACAAGGTTGATGACGGATCTCTTTGTGACCCTTCTGGACTTTCTGGAAGCTGCCGTCTTGGGAGTAGGTTTCTCGCTTTCGTCTTCCTCGTTTTCTTCAATGAGGTTGATCGCAGGCCTCTTGGTGACTCTCTGAGATCTTCTGGGAGTTGATGCCTTCTTTGGGGTAAGAGCAGTGCCACTTTGATCTTCTTCGTCTTTTCCAATGAGATCGATGATGGTCTTCTTGGTGGCTCTTGCGGACTTCCTGAGCGTGGAGGACTTCTTGGGAGTGAGAATGACTTCTCTCTCCTCCTGCTCATCTTCCTCAGAGATGCTAATGATCGTCTTCTTGGTGAGTCTCTTCGACTTTCTGCGAATAGGAGCGTCCTCTTCGCTGTTATCTTCTTCAGAAAGAGGCTTGAACGCCTTGGCAGGTACCAGCTTTCGCTTCTTGGTGGCCGGAATATTGTTGACTGTAGTCATCATGGAGTTGTCCTCATCTTCAAGTTGGGATCGAACGAGTTTGCGCTTGGTGCGGCGCAGCTTAGGTGACTCTTGGGGCGACATCATCTCTGGCTTCTTGGTGCCAAGGGCCTTTTTGCTTTCGATGGTGACAACATCGTCCTCATCATCGGAGCTCAGGGTAACCTTGTTGTTACTGCGCCTGAGACTGGTGACTGATGGCTCTGTGGCCTTGTTCAATGCCTTGTTGAGCAGGCTGTTAGGCAGGGGGGAAGTGGCTGCCGTGAGGCGAGAGTGAGGCTTGTGCTTTTGTTTGATGTGCTCTGTGGAATGCTCGTCGGCAGCAGTAGTCTCTCTATCAACGAGCTGCTTTGGAGAGATGATAGGAGCAGCATGAGCCTGGTGAAGAGAAGTGGTAAGGGTAGCAGGGACCTGAAAGGCTGCGAGCCGAGTTGTAGTGGTGATAGTAGAGTTGTCGCTGAGTTCATGGCGGGCCAGGCTCGAGGTATCGGACGAGTTGAAGGCACGCAGACTCATCGTGCCGTCGATGACCTGGGCAGGAAGGTAATTCTGAGCATTGCCGCCGTACCTCAAGCTCATCAAAGCTGTAGCAGCCTCGAGGTCAGAAGGAGTGATGTGACGCTCAGCGTTAACGTCACGTCTCAGATTTGTTAGAGTCGTGGCAGCGTTGAGGTCAGATGTAGTGATGTTCTGGGGAACCTTGATGGTACGAGTGAGTCTGCTGGAAGCCGAAGGAGTCTGGGCGCTTGTGATAGAGAAGATGCCATCCAGAGGCATGAACTTGTGAGGCATGACCTGAGATAGAGGATTGGGCTTGTAAGGGCGCAGTCTGATCAAGTTGTTTGTAGCGTCTTCCTCGGTGTAGCCTTCGTCAGGGGTAGTGTGGTCCAGACAAATCTTGATCATGGCTGCTTCGTACTGCAGCTCTGCATCGGCTTCCTCATGAGCAGGATCTCCAGCCTCGGGAGAAGACGAGATTTGACGGAGTGCTTCAGTGTCTGATCCGGCATCAGAGATAGGGGCGATCGGTCTCTCGAGGATTCTTTGATCATAGACCTCCAGGGCGTCCTCATACAATGATGCGTGCTGAGGGTCAACCTTCCACATATCATCAAGCTCTTCATTTCGCAGCTTCTCGACTGCCTCAGGGTCAGACATCTCAAGCTGAGTAGCCGTAGCCTCAATTCGCCATGTCTCCCAACGCTTGTTCCAAGCTTGTAAATGTCAGTCAAGTTCCATGACGGTATTCAGGAAGCAAACAATCAACAGGAACAGAGAGCATGGAGAGGGATAAGAAAGAAAAGAGTTGACTGACCTCTCTGCCTTCTCTGAACAGGGTCGACGCGGCGTCTTTGACGAACAATGGCGCGGACTGGACTCTCCAGAACAGCGTCAAGTTTGTGGGTCTGAACACGCTTTGAACGGCGGAGTTGGACGGTGACGTCGGAAGGACCATCCATGGTGGACATCTTGGATGATGTGACCACGTCAGTAGGCTGCATGAAGTTTAAGTGGTTGCGTGCCAAGTTGACGGACGAGGCGAGAGTTGATCACAACGCATCAGAGGGGAAGGATGCGCAAACAATCAATAACACGTACAGGAAATACAACTCTGATAGCAAATCTGCTCTGATATGAACAAGACGATGGAAGATGTTGGACTGCGCGCGGCAAGATGGTTGTAGTCGCGTTGCGTGATGAGTGTTTTGATAGAAGTGAAGCAAGCTGCGAAGAAGCGCATATTGACGACGACAACATCGACAAATCCGTGCCAAGACTTCACGGTCGACTCTCTATGGAACTCATAATACACCTGATTGAGGATGCTGGGCAATGACCTAGAAAGGAGTGTTGGAGTTGAATACTATTATGTTCAGATTGTAAACTTTTCTGCCACTCCATGATGCTCACCTCAGACTAACAGTCTCCTTCCTTCACCCTCAGACCACCATATGACTTGTATCACGATCTCGATGCTGCAAGTCAGCGAGATCACAACATCCTCTGTCTGGCTATGAGCGAATCCGCTCCTTGAGCACTGGATGTAGAAGGCAGCCAGACAAGAAAAAGCGCTACAAGCGAATCTTCCAGGAGAAGTGTGCGCGGAATACCAAAGGCACCCTTTCCATTATCTCGAGCATATTACTCTACGAATAGATCAGTTTCCATCATTGCAGGAGGATTTGATAAGCCGAGTCTGCGCTCGACTGGTTGTTCAACGAGCAGCCCGAACTGCTCAAGATCGACGTAACATGCCATGACCACTCTCGCCCCACAAATTGACTCTCCATCCAATACTGCATGAAGACTTGGTGATGGGTACTGCGACTTGCTTAACCTGCTTCTGTATGGTCTAGCCTTTGGTACCGACGACGTGATCCGAAGAATATAGGCGAGACGTTTTGTTCAATCGCAAAGGGCTCGGATCGTTCAATAGACTACCAATCAGACAGATTGATTCAGCTAGTCTATGGACAGAATTGTGTGCTCGCGGTACGTGTCGTTGATCGAGGAAGATCTTCGGGAAAAGGTGTGGAGAACACAAGAATTGAAGCGTCGGACAACCTCAATTCCTTTGTCCAGCGCCTTTCACATCGCCACAGAGCGTGTAAAAAGCGATATACAACACACTGTCCTTATGAGACCGCCTTTTGCTATTACATGAACACAAATCGGGAGAGCAAGAGCTAGGGTAAGGCGTGAACATCAAGTGGGATCAACAAAAATTATAGTACAATGGGGGCAACAGCGTCCAGTTTCG